TGCAAAACAATTACAAACCCAATTTTTGTTTTACAGAAAAGAGCTGTAAGAATTATCACCAGAAAGCATCACTATGTTTCTTCATGCTGTTTCTTCAGCATGTATGGATCACTTGGGTTGTTACCAACATCTGGTGAAAATTTCATGTCATTAGCACCTCTAGTAATATATTTACTGAGAAAAATGGTGACGTGTCCAATACTTATTTTACCCGCTGTATAATGTATTTTTTTCTTCTTGGCACCTTAACATAAGTAACAAAATACTTCCTACCAGCAGAAAGGTTTTCATAACCCCTTAAATTTGAGCTGTAAAAGAAGCTCTTTGGTGTGTTATGTCTCGGGATTTTATAACAGTAAAGTTTTCCAAAACCATTGTCTGACAAGGAATGGCCTTCTTTACTTGACCAAGAAATGTGATGAAATTTTCACGAGAGTTGAATACAGATTGATACTATAAAAAAGTAGTGATTTAAAAGTAAAACAATAACACTCTTGTACACAAATGTAGCAGAAGGTTTATAGAAATGTTTAATTGGGATCTGTCACTAGAAAAGTGTAGAAAGCAACAGTTTACTAGGCCTTTTCTATTCACAAGGGCTACAAAAAAGAGACTGTAACAAAGTCATTTTTGGGGATAGTGAGCTGAAATTTTGTACAGTAACATCTGTTAGTAATCTTGAGGCTGCTGTAGCATGGTAACCTTGAGACTGCAGCTTCCAGGACAGGTTGTCAGGAAGGGCATCTGGCATAAAACAACTGCTAAATCTTTCATGTGAGTTTGATTGTTGTGGTGACCCATGCAGAGGGGAGTAGGCAAAAAAAGAGAGAAACAACATGGAACTTGATGCCAAAGCATTGACTGGTACAGTATGTCTCCACCTGCCCTAGACTAATCTGCATTTAAAGCACTGGGCATCACTTTACCTGACCTTCAGCTTTGACCTTTGACTCCAAAACGTTTTCAGACCTCCGCTCGGCCAAGAACAAATATCATGTTAATTTGGACTGAAATCAATCGGAGATACAGTAGGCATAAAAAAACATCTGTCAGTAATCTCCACTCCTATGCTGACAGTTCATGTTTCTTTAAAGTTCAAAATGACCATCACAGCTAATATAAAAACGCTATAATTCTGATTCTGATTTTGAWGAGGACCTAAAATGGTTTCATTGAACAATTTAGGATACATCTATAGGCAATTCAAAATATGTTCATTACATATAATCAACAAAACCATTTTCAGATGATGAGATTTCACTTGGTCAGTTCTGCCTGTTCTGAGCTCTCTATAAACTGCTGTTGGCAACACCCTCCCAACTTTTTGTTTATGTTAGCACTTCAGAGACGTAAAAATGGCGGCTACAAACAGATGCACAGTGACGGTATAACAGAAGTAAACAGACTGCGTGCAGTACATCCACCCCAGGGCTTGGTAGGGACAGACCGAAGTCAGGCGCCTTGGTGCCGGGGGGGCCAACACACGTCTGCAGGGTTCATGCTGGGTCTTAAAAAGTCTAAAATCTGAAAATCTAAATTTTAGGCCTAAAACAGTTTTAAAAACACMCAGATTTTCATCCAAGGTCTTAAATTTTTTTACTTTTCATCATTCCTGAGAAGTGTTGGCTGCATAAATAAACAGCGTAAAGCGCTGTAATCAGAGGTTGACGTGATCTGTATTCATGAAGTGCTAAGTTTGCTACTCGTCTTGGTCTGTGGTTAAAMTACAAATCCTGTGATAACTGCAGGCAAAAACGGCACAGTTTACTTCCATGTTTTTGACCTCTTTGTCGCTACAACCCCCCACATACAGCAGCTTGTTCACCCACCCATAAAAACAAAAAGTTTAGTCATGTCCGCTACTTGTTATTTAAACATGGGAAGTGTGTTTTCAATGAGACTTGGCTGATATCAGTAATTTTTGCTCTCAGTTGAAAGCGATCCACAGCAGTCGATACGAAGGTCTCATAGATATGACCGATTCAGTAAAATAATTTAATGTTCTTGTA